GGTGTGCAGGGTAGACCGTTCCTAATGGGCTGAGGCTTGGAGTTCTAATTCCAGCTCAGACTTGCTATGGCCTTTGTCCTCCCACTGGTACCATGTGGGAAGTGTGACCGTTATTTCCTAGCTGAAACTCGCTCCCCGCTGCCCTCTGGCAATGCCACTTAAGCCAGATCCCCTGGCTGGAGGCTCTGCATCCAGTCCAGAGTCTATGGTAGGATGGGGGGAGACCTTACCATTATACAACCCAGTAGTGCCTGGCATGGCCTCTGCATGCCCTGGGCTGGTGAGCTTCCTGCAGCCTGGGAGGGACTGGAGGGTTCAGGCTTTAACTTTCACCTGTAGAGGAGGAGCCATGTCTGAGTGGCTGCCAGATCGTAGATGCCAGTTAGCCTTAAAATGAATGAATGCGCACAACATGAAGTGACCTGAGTGTCAATGACAAGTGGGAACAGAGGCTTTGATTGCAAGCTCAACCAGGGCAGGGATGGTCCTGCTATGTCTGAAGCACCATGCATGTGACTGGCACAAAAAGTCCACTTGGAACTGGACTCGTCAGCGATTTCAAAAGGGGCCAGAGACTAACAGGGCCATTAGCCTCAGTCATCCCACTAGGCTAGATTAGAGGGGCTGTTGCAGGAGAGGAGGAGGGGGGACTTCCCCTCAGCCTCTGCTGTTCCTGTCCTGTAACCCACAGCACCCCAGTCTCTGTGGCTGTCAATCCAGCCTCTGAACTCTGACATTGTGATCATAGCAATGCTCTAGCTCTGACAAGCTCAGGCTGTTTCAGCTACCACAAAAGTAACTCAGTCCAGGACCATGTGGCTGCCTGCAGTAGCTCAAGTCCACTTCCATTGCATCTCCTGGGAGTGATTTCTCTCTTCTCTCAAAAGAAGGCTGCAGGTGTTATGGCTCAATCAATGCAGAATGCTGTCTTACAGGGCAGTGAAATTCTTGGCCCAATCTCAAACCCCAGACCTCCCATCTCCCTGATGGGCCAAATGAGCCCCAGATCCCAATGCTGGGAAGGCTTGGTTCTGAACTGCACTTCTTGGGCTCAAATGCAGCTTCGGTCTGCTCACCCTGCCCCAGCCTGTACCAACCTTTTAAGCTTGAAAGGCTGTTCCTGACTGACCCTATTGCTGCCAAGTAGGGTTGGGGGCAAGGCAGCAAATGTGTCAAAGGAAAGAGCATAAATTCACAGCTGAGCCCCTTGGCCTCTCTGATCAGGAGGAGGAGCTCCTCCTGTAAGAGGACTGCCCAGAACACCTACGCCACAGGGTGGAAGACTCCTCCAGCTTTCCTGCTATCTAACTAGATGATGCAATATGCTCAGTGACTATCGAAGCAGGGGGTCTGTCAGCCAGCCCAGTTGCAAACCCCTCCCACCAAGGGGGGCTTCTAGCACAGCCTCTGAATGGCATTTTTCTGTAGCAATCCACTGGATGGCTGGAAAGGAGTTATTAGGACTCCAGTGTCCTACCTGCACAGTAAGACTTGCTGTACACATGGGACTCAGGCAGTCTTGGAATCTACTTTAAGAAGAACTGAGTCTGTTCTGGGAACAGCTTGTTCCTTTTGTGGAGAGGCCACAGCACAGGGCAGGTTTACTGCCTGTACCACTACCAGGCCTGGGCTCTCAAAACAACCTCCTGGAAGGTCTGTGCAGCAGGATCAGCAGGATGGAGGGGTCTGGCTTTTCAGCACTTGGGCTGGAAAATCTCCAGTTATCTTCATCTGTCTGCGGTCGGCCTCATTCTCCCAGCATGCCAACACCCACCTGGCACCCAGAGGTGCACAGTCTCTGCTTGCAGAGCTTTCATCAAACATGGACTAGCTCTCTTGATGCGCTTCCTGTGGCATCCCCCAGCCAGGCCTGCGTGAGAGCCAGCATAGTGACTAATACAAACCACTGCTTTCTAGCATGCCTATTGCAAGCAGCTGGCTGTAAGGGATTAGTTTGGGAGTAACTGGCTTAACCCTGCGCAGGCTGCAGCTACAGCTCAAAACTTCAAGTGAGAGCACCCCCCACACACACTCCTCAGACTGGAGGTGGAACTTTATTGCAGACTCTTCCAAGGTAACTTCTCCTAGTGGTGTCTCCTAGAGCCTCTACCACAGGGAAGGTGCCATTTGCCAGCAGCCTGGACACAATCATCTGCTCCTGTAACTCTGCAGCGTCTCCCTTTGAAATGGACAGTCTTCCTGACGCTGCCATTCTCAGTCCAATGCTATAAGAGGCCCAGGTGCACAGTTCTAGCTCTTCCTTAGCACTGATGCTTGGTCAGTGGTGAGGCTGGCACCTTGCAGGGCTATGCAGTGCCAGCTGTTAGCAGATGAATGGACATTTAACTAAAGAAACATGGGGCAGGAGTATGGTGCTGCCCTCTAGTGGAGGAATTAGAAGGTAAAGGACCTTCTGCTAACCTGATCTAAATCAGACATTCTAGCTTGGTAGTGGCCTGAGCAGTCTCTTTGCTTTTCTCCTGCCAGGATTCTAGCCTCATTTCCCCCAGTGGAGCTGGGATTATCCAGTGACTGTCCTCTGGGAGCTTCCCCATTCAGAGTGGCACAGCCCTTCAGCTCTAGGGGCTGTGTACACTTGGCTTAGGTATGTGGCATCTCCAAGGGCAGGCTGGGAGATGACCAGCCCAGGGCAGTGGGGCAGGTCACCTTGAGACCCAGGGAATGTTTGTCTTATTTGCTGCATCATGGTAATGCCTTCCCACTTCTGACTGCTCCCAGGATCCTGGGTGCACCCCCTTCTCTAGGGCTGATCCCACTAGGCTGGTGCTGCAGTGTCCTCCTGCTGGGGGAGGAAGCTCTGGGACATCAGGTCTTGATATTGGCCAAGGCTCCCAATCTGCAAGTAGCAGCTATCCACCAGGTCATGGCTGTTCCAGAGCACCCCTCCTTGTGCTATGGACATGGTCCTCATGGGAAACTCAGTCACAAGCACCTCTGAGTCCTAGTGACACTTGTCCATATGCCAGTAGCCTTGTCACTGGATCAAATACCCCTGTTAGCAGGCTGGATGAAAGCAGATGGCCAGATGCCTGTTCTGCCCATCTTATTTCTATTTCTATTTTTACTCCAGCAAAAGTTCTCAACTGGCCTCCCAGTTTACTGAGCCAGTGACTGGGAGTGGGGTTGCAGTGCTGGGTCTGGTCCACTTTGTGAAGGGGAAAGCAGCAAGTGGGCCCTGTGACTCTCAGCTGTGCCAAGGGGCATGTCCCCATCTTGTACTAGCTGTCCAAGTTGATGGGGTCAGGCTTGTCCTTCAGGCTTCTCTCCTGGGGGCAGGATTGCAGGCCCTGGTGAAATGGGTGTGTGGGTAGATGTGTGGGCATGCCTTGCCATAGGGAAGGGGGACTTCACATGAAGCAGGGATGCTACAGCAGGTGACCTATCAGTTCCATGTGCCAGGATCACTAGTATAACTACTGTGATGTACCCTGCTGGGGTCTTCAAAAATGCCAGATGGCTTGATAATCCCCAGCATCCTTGCTGGTGGCTTGAGCATCTCCTGACTGATCAGTGTTGCTCCTCTCGCGACTATACCCTAAGATTCCTTCCCTAATGCTAACCAGGGCTGCTGGGCATTGGTTCTCTACTTCCTTCCACCCAGAGTCTCTCATGTCCTTAGTTTTAAGGTTTGAGTCAGTGAGAATTTGTGACTAACTTGATGTCATAGCTCTATCTAGATAAGCAATAGGGAAACCCCCTTCCCCTCCCCCCAGCTTCCTCATGAGTTGCAGTGTTAGACACTTCCTGTACAGCTGGAACTCAGCAGGCCAACTTGAGAAGCTTTCTATCCCCAAACTCTGTAGCCTGTGCATCTTGTAACAACCTGTGCGCCCCCCCATGCTAGTCTGTCTTGCTGCTATCAAATGTAATTGCCCTTAACAGTGACTCCATGACTGATCTTTCAGAGGAGTGCATGGCAGTCAGCTGGTGGCTCCCGCTTCCTTCATAGGAAATCTTTCTCCCCAGCTCTATTAGAAGTGGGTGGTGTGAAAGGACCCCCTCACTCTAATGGTGTTGAAGTGTCTCACTTCCCAAACCCCCAGGTAAACTCCCCTAGGAAACGGTTGCCAGGACTTATGATATACAGGCCTAAAAAAGGCAGATCGTTGTGCTTGGAGTCTTAGACTCAAATCTGAGTGGTGTGAACAGGAGTACTCTGGTTAATGATTTGTCAGTGTGTTAAGACAAGGACTATGATGCAGGTTTGACAGGCCCGCTATTGTGGGCTCCTACCAAGATGGCTTCTAACAACTCTGGATGCCAAGCCATGCTCCTGTTGTACTGATGTACTGGCAATGCCAGCCTGTGTGCTCTTGGAGGGGGCGGCTAAGATTGTCCCAAATCCAGACAACTTCCACATCTTGGCTGAACTCCATATTGGCCCCATTCCTAAAGCCAAATCTTAGGTGCTAAATGGCAGGGCCGGCTCCAGCATTTCTGCTGCCCCAAGCGCGGGAGGGGGAGGGAGCCGCGGTCGCGATCGGCAGCAGCAATTTGAAGGGGGGGAAAAAAAGCCGCAATCGGTGGCGGCAGTTCAGCAGCAGGTCCTTCGCTCCTAGAGGGAGTGAGGGACCTGCCTCCCCCAAATTGCCACAGGTGCCGCCCCTCTCCCTTGGCCGCTCCAAGCACCTGCTTGTTAAGCTGGTGCCTGGAGCCGGCCCTGCTAAATGGGGGAAGAGGCTCTCTTAGGCTAAAGGGCCTAAAATGGGAATAGGAGTCTTCTGACTTATCTCACAGTAACTTAAGCTCAACTGGTACAAGAGCCCTTGGTGGTGCTGGGGTCTGGATAGCTGCATGCAGTCATAATGGTAGTAGCAGGCCCTCCTGAGGGACAGCATCCAGGTACTTGGTCTGGAGGCCACTCTCCCCCCATGTGCTGGGTGGAACTGGCGCTCTGTGGTGCAAAGGGGTGTTCAACTCCCAGTCTCTAGTCTCAATGCGACATGTTATCACAGTAGCAGAATGGCTTTCTCTTCCAGATGCGCTGGTATCCTCCCTCCGAAGCTACCCAGCAAGGATGGAAGTCTCGTCAGTTTTGTTAGTTCTTCAGTAAGTATGTCTGCTTGGAAGTGGGCCTGGGCCAGTGCTGCTATCTGTTCTGGATCCTTGCATTCCTGACCTCCAGGCTGCATGAAAATCTGGCCTGGACTTGCGGTGCTGCCTTGAGTGGGACTTGTATATATCATTGTGGAGGGAAGAGTCACTCATCCAGGCAGAGTGGCAAGTGTTCTCAATAGCCCACACATCTCCTACAGCATCCTGCTTAGATGATGCAGGGACTGGAGTAGCAGAATTCCCTTTTCTGTCTTCCTCTACTAACTGCATGAGTTCTGGGGCCCTCTTGTTCCCAACAGCTGGTGTGTAAATACACTGACCCCAACCCACGGACTGCATAGGAAATTGTGGCCAAATTAATACTAAACATTGGCCTGGATGTGTTGCATTAAGGGTCTGAATGTCAGATCTGCTCACTCAGATTGCAGCTGGCTTGCAGAATCCTTAAAGGTAACAAAGAGTAAGTGTGTAAAATTGAAGATCCTGGTAGTAAATTTTGAGTCCCATCATGCCTGCTGCAAGTCCAGCACAACTATTCTCTAAACCCACTCCTTAACGTGAGTGCCTGGGTAACACTCTCACTTGGACAGAGCTCCAGCACTGCTTAATGTTACCACTTCAGCAGGAAGGAGGCAGCCTGTCACTTGCTGTGTCCTGTGGTGAGGGTGAACACACTATCTGCCCTGCAGGTAATCACAATGGCCTGGTAAATGAATTACAGGGCACACTGAGCATTGCTCTTCTCTTATGTTCCAGAGTCTCTTGGCTTGTTCCCTTCTTTGTCTCTCCTGGAGCGATGTGCCAGGGATGAAGCAATGGATCCATCAAAATCCGTTTGGTTTGTGGACACTCTGCAGTAATGTCACATTTCTCCTGGTACAGCCTTGTGGGCTTCCCTGTTAGACTGTGCATCTATCCATACCCAGCTCAGTGGACTGCATTCTGCCTGTCCTCACCTTCCCTCCCCTCTCCTGCCTCCCCTCCTAACAGATTCCCAGACTGAGTTTCTCCTTCCTGTGCCACTGAAGCCTAGATGGAGGGACTCAATCCTGGTGGTAACAGACGGGTTTGTCCCTACCAAGACACTGGTGCCAAATGAGGCCTAGCTGTACAGAGCAATACTCAGGCTGCCTTGCCCTCAACTTTATGCAGCTCTGCTGAAGGAAATGAAAGACAATCAGTTTTGCATGTTTTCTGGCATGAATTTAAAACACTTAACTTGTGTATGTGTGAGTGTATAAGTTTGTTCTAGCATTTGTGTAACTGTAGCAACAGGTCTTGGCCTAACTATTGATCCAGCAAGGTTTTTCATCTTGCTTCTGTGAAGACTTGGCTTTCAAAAATACTATCCTTGTCTCACCCCTCCTCGTCCACCTCCCCCGCCCCACGTTCTCCAGTCCGACCAGAAGATTTTTGAAAAATGTTTGTTTAGAGTACAATGCACTGGGTTTCTTTTCTTGTCTGGTCTCTTCTCTCATTTTTTTAAAAAGTCAGGGTTATCTTTTTTTCCTCAGACTTAGATATTTTACAGCTGTTATAACTCTTTTCTCCCTCTCTCCTCTTCCCCCCACATCCTTCTGATTGGAGAGATTCCAGTGTTGCCAAATCAGCTATCCTTATGGGAATTCAGAACAAAAAGTACGAGTATTTTTGTACTATGTGTAATAAGGAAATATTTATGCATCAAAGAATTTGTGTGTTTTTTCGTGTGCAATTATTGAAGAGAAACTGTAATCCGGTAAGATAAGTTAATGTTTAGTTAAAAGCTTGAAAGAGAAGTTTTTTCTGTAACAATGATTCCGTCAGGCGTAGTAAACAAACTGTGCAATTTTTGTTTTTTATTTTAGCATCTTATTGCTTGGTATTGAAGTGCTTAAGTATTATATACAACCATGGCTGTCTTGCTTGTATTAAGACTTCTGAGAATAAGTTGCTATAGAATTGCTGATCCTATGAGAATGTGAAACTGGATAATATATGAAATGCAAAAAATATACCCGGAGGCTGCTGTGACTCTTTTTCTGTTGTCTGTGGTCTTTTCTTCTGAGCACCAGAACTCTCAAAGCACCTCAGCCTGAGGAGAGCCCTGTGCCTCCCCTAGGAGGCAGGTCTGCCATGCCCATCGTAGGTAAAGAAAGGGAGGCACCAGGGTTGAGTGACCTTTTCTAAGGTCACAGAGCAAGTCAGTGGCAGAACACAGGCATTCTGGTAGAAACATACAAACTCTCACTCTCTCATGGCAGAAAGTGCTTGGGTTAGTTTGCGCACTCTAACGGGCAGTAGCTTGATTGTGGCTTTTCAGAGAAACAAATTTACCAGCTCTAGAGTGACTTTCTCCCCCTGCAAGCTAGGAGCCTCCAGTGTCTGTCACCTCAAGTGTCTCCTGGTTCTTGTGATCACATGCTGTGACTGCCTCTCAGCAGAAATCCTCCAGACTGCCCCTCCCAGTCAAATTCAGCATGGGGCGTGCCAAGGCAAGGGCACTGAGTGGGCACCTTTCTAGCCACTCTGGGGCACCCCTGGCTGATGTCTGCAAAGGGTTGTGACCTTGCTCAGTCAGTGACCTGCTCCTTCACTCTCAAAAGCTACTTGAGCTTCACTTAGTGTCAGAGCCTGCCTGCATGGAGATACTTCACCTCACTGCCTGCATTGTCTTCACAGCCCTGCTATGTGTACAGCGTGGTTTCTCCTAGGTCAGAGGGACTTCTTCATTCCCAAGCCTCTTCCCCATTTGGCTTTGCAGGAGAAGCACTCTGTGGCTGAGTGGATGCTTCAGGCTCTGACCTACTTCTAGTTGTTGGGGGTGGGGGTCCTTCCTCAGTCATTTAACATGTAGAGGAAAGCATTGCAAGAGCCTCTTGAAGTGGTAGGATGTTGGCATGTCTGCATGATGTGCCTTCCCCACAATCCCTCGTGGGGCCATGCCTGTGAAATGAGTGCCACTAAACTCATAAGGGGAGAGCTGAGGCAGTGGCTTCCGCAAAGTAGAACACAATGGCAGCCTGTGTTCAGTAGGCCCTGGCATGCAAGTATAGAAGTACAGGCCTTACTGAATGTCACCATGTGCCACTGACCAGGTCTTGCCTAGAAGCACTGGCTGAGACCTTTCTTTTGCCCTTCAACCTATCTCAGGATAACCCTAGAGGCCTTGGTCTGTGTAGCTCTGAAGCTTTCAGTCTAGCTCACACCCCAATGAGAGGCAAAAGGAGACATTTCCTCTGCTCGTTGTACATGAGGCCCTCTGCTCTTGGCATGGGTTGGATGAGGTCAAACACTTCCCCAAGTTGCTTGCTGTGTGAAGCCCTAAGATGTAAGCAAAGTGGAGCCTGCCCCTTTCCATCCACCCTTCTCTCTCTTTCTCCCCCCCCCCACACCACCCAAGTCATTCCTTGGCTTCTAGAAACCTGTACTTCTCCTCTGATCCTTGGTGGCATTTCCTAGGGCTAAAGTAACAGCTGGCCCTAGATATGCTCTCCCCAGAACTAAGGGCTTGAGTGTTGTCCTGGCCAGGTGCTGCTTCTGAAGTTTTCCTGGTTGTAGACCTGCTCATCCAAAGGGCATCATGTAAGCACTTTGCCCCCTTCCCTTGCTCCACATTGCTGTGGGCTCTGGTTTTAGCCTCTGCTGCTGGAGGGGAGCAGTCAGTGCCTGGTTGAACTGCTGTCTACCTGTAGCAGTCAGATGCAATTTTGTAACCCTGTTGGTCCCTGGCTAGGGGGGTGGGTGGGTGTGTGGGGTGTGTGTGTGTGGCCAACTTCTGCTTGTCACCACCTCTAAGTTAATCAGTCAGAGCCTTCCATCCATTTTGCTGCCCCCTGAGCTCCTACTCATGAGGCAAGGCTGCTCTCCAGCCTTCTGCTGAGGCTAGGAAGGGCTCTCCCTTGGCCATTGGAAGGTTTTGCTGTTTTTCCTGAGTAGGCTGGGAAAGCAGAGATCTCCATAGAAGGAAAACATCCTCCACTGCTGCCTGTGGTCATACTCTTCCCAGGTACTCATACACTCCTTTGCTGCAGCAACCTGGCTGGCTCAGCTGCCCAGCCCTTACTCTATGCCATGGCAATGCAGAGCTCCAGAAGGCAAGGTGGGGAAGAGGACATGAGGCTGCAGCCATAGCAAAGTCTGTACAAGGCAGCATTAGTCTAGCAGCCTAGGCCATGTGCTGGCCCCAGCCCCATGTTAGCAGCTGCTCACTTCAACCTTTACTGCTGGCCCAGCCATTGAACACTGACTCAGGTGTGACCTACAGCTCGACTAGCTCGAGATCTTAGCCAAAAGCGGAGCTGCTGGAGCAGGAGAGACCCAGCCCACCCTTGTTGCTCTGGGATTCCAGCTACTAAGGGCTCATGCTCTGATTAGCTGCCAAGAGGGGCTCAGCTGGAAGGCTTCCACCCCTGTGTTGCTGTGCTCCTGACTTGGGGAGCAGTGTGTGCTGGGTGACTGGCTCTTTGCAGCAAGGTTCAGCTTGCTCTCCGAGCTGTCACCTGGCAGACCCCTTCAGTGTTCAATATTTCCCATCTGTGCGCAGAAGCCAGCTGGGTGAGCGCTCTAGGAGCTAGCAAGGGTGGGGCCAGTTCTGCATGGTGGGCTTCTGGTCAACACCAGCTCTTGCTGTTAAGCTGGCAGAACGGGCAGCCCTCCCCCTCTGTCTGCACAGGCTCAGGGCCACTCTGGGGGCCAGTGAAACATCATGCCTAGCTCTGAACCAAGAGGTGTGTTCCTATGAATAAATGATGAAATAGCCAGGCGTGCAGAAGCGATCACTCCAGATCCTTTCGGCTGGAGGAGAAACAGGCCCCGCAGCTGATAGGGTGGGGGTGGGGTGGCCTTGCTCACCTCAGGCTGTATGGGACTTACAAGCCTAGCTGTGAGCCAGTTCCCAGCTGCAGGATGGTTGCTCTGGGGTAGCTGCGTGCAGCTGGACCAGCTCCTTTCCTTGCTCCTGGAACTGCTAGAATCCCACGCTAGGATGGGCCTGTGGGGGAGGGGGGGCAGCCAAGATGCCCCATAGTGTCCCGGCAACAGTGGTGTGGGGCAAAAGGAGGCCGCCTGTTTTGTGAGTTAGCCACTGGTGCGGTGGTGTAGCTGGCTGGGGTTGGTCACCCTTCCCCTTTGCTCTGGCATGGCTCAGTGATGAGTGGAGTGGCAGGTGGTTAGCCCCAGCAGGGGCAGCAGTTAGTGGCTCTGGGTATCTTCATTGCTAGAGCACAGGGATAGTGTCACCACTACTAGCCCGAGCTGGGAGGGAGCATTTAATGGCTGGCCACAGGAGGGGAGGGGACTGGACCCTCCTGGCCTTTAGCTGGGCTGGCTCCTGCTGTGGGCCCTACGCTGCCCTTGAGTGGCTCTAGGTGGCTCTGTGCAGTCCTCTGGCTGAGATGCCCCCTGTGCCGGCAGCCCCGGCAACCTTGGTACCCAGAGGGCTGTGTGATGGCTCTGATCTCACAACCAGCTGTGCCCGCTGATGTCTCTGCTTCCTCCTGCAAAGATTGTGGCTTCTTGGGCTTGTTTTCTCTCTCTCTCCCAGAGCAGGGCCCAGCTTTCCAAGGGCAGAGCCAGGCAGCTTAATAAAGGCAACAAGCAAAACCAAGGAGTTTAAAAAGTCAGCTCTAAAAATAGCCCTTCTGGCCACGGTGCCTGGGAATTGGCTCACGCTGATGTCCGCTGGGCAGGAGAAACAGCTCCAAGCAGGGCAGCCTGAGCAAATGTCTCCGAGCGATCTCCCTGCTTGGCTGGGGCTTTAGAGCTGCTTCACCTTCTGCTCTGGGCCAGAAGGTGGGGCTGGGGGCAGCTCCTTGCAGCTGAGATCCGCATGCCCCAGGGAGCTAGGCCAAGCACCAGCCCAGGAGACTGAGCCCCTCCACTCTGCTGTATCCTCCTGAAAGCAAGCAGCAGCAGGGATGTAGGCCAGGGCCTGGGCTGGCAGTGCTGGGGGAAGAAAGCTCTGGGGAGCCTGCAATGGGCACCTTCCCTTCCCAGAGCAAAGCGGCTGATGCTAGTACCCAACCCACCATGACCTTGCCCGCTGCATTGGGGGACGCACATCACTGATTCAACCTCCTTCCCTTGCGCTGGGAGGCTGTGCCCCTGAACCTCTCCTAGGGTTGGCTCTGGAGCCCCTAGCACTGCCCCTGGAATGGGCCGTTTTGTCATTGGGCTGGGTTCCCCAAGCCTGCGTCTCAGGGCCTGCCCCAGAGCCTCCCCCCCACACTCAGAGCTCTTCCCTGCTCAAGTCTCTGGCTGAGTTTGTGGTAAGCCTTTCTCCTCACCTCCTCTCCCCTCCGTCTGGCTGCCAGATCCAGCCACATCTCAGCTTTGCTCACCTAAGTGGAAAGCTTCCCAGGGGAGAGCTGGGGGCCAGCGCTGCCGGGCTGCGGGGCTTTAAATTATAGAGAAGATTTTAAAAAACCTTTAGCACATGCATTAACATGGCCTGGGCCATGAATAATTGACACCCAGTGCTAGTCAGCTTTTACACAGGGACCCAGCCCA